CTACTATCTGGAAGGACTCTTTTATCATTCCATTTTACAAAAAGGGTGCGAAGGCGGATGCCCAGAATTATAGAGGTATTTCTAAATTGTCGTCAATTCCTAAAGCATTTGAACGTATTATTACTTCTCATTTGCAACATTTATGTTCCTTGCTAAAATCACCGTGTCAACATTTTTGTGAAGCGAAGATCGACCACCACCAACTTTCTTGAATTGTCATCTATAGTAATAAATGGATTTAAAAAAAATGCAGACTGACGTTATATATACAGATTTAAGTAAGGCTTTAGTAAGACTCTGTCAACCACTCTCTTCTCTTATTCAAATTAAATCAGCTTGGGTTTCCATGTAATCTATTAACTTGGATTTCAAGTTATTTGAATGGTAGGACCCAGAGGGTTATATTCAAGAACGCTGCTTCAAAATTGATCTACGGGACATCTGGAGTGCCTCAGGGTAGACATTTGGGCCCTTTGCTGTTTACTTTGTTTATTAACGATCTTTCCTCTATCATAACACATTCTCGTATGCTAATGTATGCTGATGATGTTAAGCTTTGTTTATCATATAATGATACAGCGTCGGTTTTCAACTAACAGTCAAATATTGATTGTTATCAGGGATGGTGTGAGTAACACCTTTTAAATTTGAACTGCCTTAAATGCAACGTTATGAATTTTTATAGTTAGTTAGTTTATAGTTAGTTAGTTATAGTTACTCTCTTCAAAATACGCCACTCGATCGTATATATTCAGTTAATGAGTTAGATGTTCTTTTGGAGCCAAAACTTAAATTTGGCTGCCACATAATGTCCACAGTCAACAAAGCCATGAGTGTTCTTGGGTTTATACAGCGTTTTTACCGTTGTTAGGTCATTGACTTTAATTTTGCGAAGGTTTAGAGAAATGGGCCTTCTTTTAAACACTAAAAGGCCATACCTTGAATTTTTGGTTATCTGCATAAAAGTATTTAACTTTAAAAGTAGTAAACATTTTCACCGTATTTATGTCATTGATTTAAATTTTGCGAAGACTTACAGAAATGGTCTTCCTTTAAAACTTTAAAAGCCCATAACTTGGTCAGAAGGACTCGGATTTATTTATGGCATACCTTTACGGACTGGTTATCTGCATACAAATATTTAAATTTAAAGGTAGTCAACATTTTCACCGTTTTTATGTAATTGGTTTTAATTTTGCGAAGATTTACAGAAATGGTCCTCCTTTAAGACTTTTTAAGCCCATAACTTGGCCCAAACGTATCGGATCTCGATATGGCGTAACTTTATGGACCTGTGGAATGATTATGCTGTTATCTGCATAAAAATATTTAACTTTAAAGGTAGTTAACATTTTTACCGTTAGGTCATTGACTTTAACTTTGCGAAGGTTTAGAGAAATGGGCCTTCATTTGAACATTAAAAGCCCATACCTTGAATTTGCGGCTATCTGCATAAAAGTATTTAACTTTAAAAGTAGTCAACATTTTCACCGTATTTATGTCATTGATTTAAATTTTGCGAAGACTTACAGAAATGGGCCTCCTTTAAAACTTTAAAAGCCCTTAACTTGGGCAAACGAAATTGGATTTCGATATGAAATACCTTTATGGACTTGTGGAATGATTATGCTGTTATCCGCATAAAAACATTTAACCTTAAGGTCAACATTTTCATTTTAGTAAGGCCTTTGACTCTGTCAACCACTCTCTTCTCTTATTCAAATTAAATTAGCTTGGGTTTCCATGTAATCTATTAACTTTGATTTCAAGTTATTTGAATGGTAGGACTCAGAGGGTTATATTCAAAAACGCTGCTTCAAAATTGATCTACGGGACATCTGGAGTGCCTCAGGGTAGACATTTGGGCCCTTTGCTGTTTACTTTGTTTATTAACGATCTTTCCTCTATCATAACACATTCTCGTATACTAATGTATGCTGATGATGTTAAGCTTTGTTTATCATATATCGAGTTTCAACTAACAGTCAAATATTGATTGTTATCATGGATGGTGTGAGTAACACCTTTTTATGAATTTTTATAGTGGTACTCCTACTTTTGTTAGTTACTCTCTTCAAAATACGCCATCCGATCGTATATATTCAGTTAATGAGTAAGGTGTTCTTTTGGACCCAAAATTTAAATTTCACTGCCACATAATGTCCACTGTCAACAAAGCCATGAGTGTTCTTGGGTTTATAAAGCGTTGGTCAAAAGAATTTGATGACCCTTATACAACCAAGTTATTATTTACTTCACTTGTCCGTCCTATTTTGGTATATTATTCTTCGGTTTGGAGTCCGCAATATCAAGTGCATATTGACCGTATTGAGTCGGTACAAAAAAAATGTCTCTTTAGAGTAGATTACTATTGCTTAATTTAACTATACTTGTAAATCGTAGAATAATGCTTGGTACTATTTTTATGCAAATTCTTATAAGAAATGATATTGAATCTGTTGAATGCTGGGCCCAAGAATGCAAGTATACAAAAAACGAGAGAGCTAGATAGAGAGAGATACCTTCCGCGATGCAATTAATATAAGAGATCGAATTAAGACGTTAATTAGCTGCTGCGGCTGTGTGACCCGACATCTCCCACCTTGGAAGCCTGGGTTTCAACATCATCCTTAAGGGGTAGCAGACACAACTTGTTTACTGCTCGCTTTGTCACTCTTGATGCTGTCTTCAGAACGGCAACTCTAGCAACCCCATCTCCATCGAACAGAAGCTCGATCTCTCTGGCGAGGGGCTACTTTAAGTTTTCGTCCTTGACCAGAACGAAGTCATCGACAACCAGGCCAGGTTTTGGGGTGCGCCTCTTGGAGCGCTGCTGCAGTAATGTTAAGTATTCTTCCTTCCATCCATTCCATGCCATCCATCCAAGCGATTGAAGCTAAGACTGGTCACATCCGGCTCGACGAAAAAGGAATGCGGACCACCATTCAAAAAATGTGCTGGGGTTAATACATCCAGATCAGCTGGGTTTTCTGAAATCGAGACTAATGGTCGAGAATTAACAACCGCCGAAATGTGACACACCAGGGTCCGCAACTCCTCAAAGGCTAAAACAGCAGTGCCAACAGCGCGATAGAAATGATGCTAATCGATCTTCACAGCCGCTTCCCAAAGAGCATTATCAGCATTATCAGACCAAATCTGCCGCGGCCTTCTTCTAGTGCATATACATCTTTTGAGGTCATGTAGAAACTATACCGTAGAGAGATCCTTGATTAACCCCAAGTGAATAGCCTTCGTGGCGAAACAAATGAAGACACAAACGTAGCATTTTACTGGAGGCTTGCCTCGCGCCTCTGACTTGTAGAAAAATGGCCCGCAAAAGCCAAAGCCAGTGACTTCGAACGCATGGGATCCATCAAGTCGCTTCTTTGGAAGATCCGCCATAATATGCTCCACTACTCGAGGCTTCATTCGAAAGCATCTAATACATTTGTTTACCGCCTTCATAACCGTCTTCCTCCCCCCAATAGGCCAATATTGGGATCGAATTATGCCGAGTAATGCCCGTGGCCCAGTGTGCAGATTGCGTTCATGAAAGTGAGTAATAATGGCAATAGTGACCGAATGACTCCGTGGTAATATAATTGGATGACGCCCATTAAAATCCAGAGAAGAATTCCTTAGCCGGCCATCCACGTAAAAATCGCGACGAATGACCTCAGCCCCAAGCGGACACGCTGTATGCTCGTCTGCTGACAACTGATGCAGGGATCTCCATTCCAACCAGAGGGCATAAAGAACTGCACGCCTTCCTGGGATTGGGTTCTGGGTTCTAGATGGCAAGTTGGTCCAGAAAAAACGGTCAAGCTGCATGCCACCGGGCAAACAAGCAAGCGGTTTCCAACTGACTGCCTAATCCCCTTAAACGGCGCTTTTTTATCGCAGATTTCACTCTGAATTCTGCACTCAGGACCCCGAACCCCGAATTCTGTGCACCCTGCACTCTGCACTTTCCAAGTGCCACTGGCTTTTTGTTTCACCGCACTTTTTGGCGCATCGTCGAAAGGTAACAGGCAAAACGGTGAAATGGCATTGAAATGTCGGTGAAATGCCACCGGCTTGACCTTTGCACACACGGCTGCAGATTGTTTTTTGCGCGAGTTCTCTTCATATCACTGGCGTCAACGGTATCACGGCAGTTGCCAACTTAATTTCCATATGGTGCAATTTTGATGGCTCCGACCGTAATTCAATGCCGTCTGCTTTTTTCCCCGTTGTTTGCAGCTCGTTCGTGATGTAGTGTCATATGCAGCAGAGGAGAAAAAATTGGACAAAAATTGAAAAAATTGAAAAACACTGGTGGCCGCTAACAGCTGCCAACAACAGGAACTGCGATTTGACCAACATCAGCACCTGCCATTTAGACAAAATGGTCAATAAGGGCACCTAAAAGGAAAGTCAATTTTACAGGAGTTTTGGGCAGACATATTCTCAGATATTGTATAATATATCTCTAATCTTTCTAAATCATTACAACAATTTTTAATATACATTGTATAATTTTTTAAAGAAATAAAATCCTATTTATTAGGTCGGAATTTTATTCAAGTCTCTCTTTTTAGGAGTTTTCGAATAATACCTAAATCGGTATATTCTTTTTAAAAAATTGATCATTAGATCTATTTTTTTTTAATTTAAGATCAATTACAAGTGTTTAACAGCTTAACTAAGCAATTTTTAAGACAATTATTTTGTTGGTAAACAGTAACTTATAAAATAATATTATTGTAATATTAAACAAAAATATTAAAACTAAAATAACAGTTATGAAAGTTACAAAATTCATTTTCTAGTTTAAAAAAATTATTATTAATTCTGTTTCTTAAAGTGAGTTTTAAATAATGAATAAATTAGCAAAGGCGCATATTTTTAATTGGACCATAGCCAATAAAGCTAATTAAAAGTTATAACTTCTATTGACACTATATCAAAATCGCAAGCTCTGCGAAATCTTTTCAAGTATGCATTTGTAATGACAGGTTAAATTGACTCTTTGGCTAGATGATGCACTGCCGGAAATGATGTTGGCTTCGTGCCATTAGTAACGGCGTCTAGCTTAAACACCCGCAATGGGTCCTGGGGCGAATCCCTCCACAAAATGCATTGCAAATGGCTGTCCTTAGGTTGAACCCTAACACAACGGTACATTTTCCAAATGTCTCCTGTGATTGCTACTGGGTGTGAACGAAACCGAAGAAGAATCTGGAACAGCTTAGGCTGAATAACAGGGCCTGCCATAAGAACATCGTTGAGAGAATAGCCTGAGGAACTGGCCGCCGATCCATCAAAAACTACGTGAAGCTTTGTAGTGGAGCTATCTTCCTTTATGACGGAATGATGAGGGAAGAAGTATCGGCTGTCGTTTTGTTATGTTCGGAGCAACCACCGCGGTAATGTTGGCTGAGTATTCGGAAATTCGGGACTAAATCGTAATATTAACCGAGTGACCATCCGGCACAAAACTGGAATCCCCTTCCAGTTACATCGGGACGTTATTAGATGCATTTGGGAGCCCGAATCGAGTACAGCTCGACAGGGAACGAAAACCTCGGAAAGATTTTTTACTAAAACGCTAGCCGTTCCTAAATGCACAATATCATTACTAATATACCAATAATCTTGGCCTAGGAAACTGAACGAGGCGAAAAGCCGAACGCTCAACGGCGCTGAGAAAAATAACTCACCGACCGAGAAGGAGTGCTTTACAATCGTCTGGGCGATCCGAAAACGAAAGCAGTAACCGACCACATGACTCTGAAGTGGCTCAACAGCATAGAAAGCCCTTCAGGGAGGATCACCAGATGGGCACTGGAGTTGCAGCAGTACGACTTCAAAATAGCGTACAGGAAAGGATAACTCATCGTGGTGGCAGACGCTTTGTCAAGGCAGCCACTACCAGAAACGCTTCGAGAGACCAAGGAGACATCGGCGGCGGAATCTTCAGCAGCAAGCAGCTGGATTCAGGAAATGATAAGGACCCAGCCGCAAAAGTACCCAAACTACGTGATGGAGGGTGACACCCTATTAAGGAATACCTCATAAAGCGGGCAGCGAGGATGTCGCAACTTGGAAGATCTGCGTCCCGACAGCTGTACGGGAAACGGTGCTGAAGGAGAACCACGATTCACAACAGAACGTCTGGCAGCCCGGTATTATTCAGGTCAGGAATGCACAGAGACGCACGAGCCCACGTGCGAGGATGCGAGACATGCATGAGATTCAAGCCGAATAAGATGCTGACGCAGAAGCCAACGGAACCATGGGCTAAGGTATGTGCGGACTTCGTCGGACCCCTGCCGCGTTCAAAGCACGGCAACCAAATGCTGCTGGTACTGAAAGACCGGTTCTCCATGTAGAGTGAGTTGGTGCCACTGCAAAGCGCGACGGCCGAATCCCTAAAGAAAGCTTTCAGGTAACGCATAATCGCGAGGTATGGGGTCCCTAAAGTAGTCATATTGGACAACGGATTACAGTTTGCCTGCAGAATTTTCAAGAGTTTCCTGACCGAAATGGGAACCAAGCAACGGTTCACAGCTCCATACACTCCGCAGGAGAACCCGACTGAGGGAGCAAATAGGACGGTGAAGACAATGATAGCGCAGTTCGCAGGCAGGACCAAAGAAACTGAGACGAAAAATGGCCGGAAATCATGCTGGCAGTAAACACGAGCGTTTCGGAATCCACAGGTTACACACCGCCGTCGTTCATTACCCAAGGCAGAGAACTAAGATTACCGATCGCCCTATACGACAGAGAGACCTTAGGGAACGGACGACCGACTGAGACCCCGGAGGAGAAGGCCAACAAACTTAGGAAAATCTTCGAGATAGTAAGGCGGCATCTGGAGAGAGCCTCCAAGGATCAGGCTAGGCATTATAACCTAAGGAGGAGGCAATGAACGCCAGCGGTGGGTGACGTCGTGTGGGCCAAGGAACGCCATTTATCAAGGGTTCGAAGCAAAATTGGCACAAAGATACGACGGACCTTACCAAGTCAAGGGTTTTGCGTCACCAGTAATCTGCAAAATACGACTATTAAACACAAAGAAAGAGCGGACCATAAACGTAAGCGAGCGGAAACAGCAACAAACGCAAAACACAAGCGAGCAGCTACAATAAGCAGGCACAGCAGACGCAAAACAACATTGAAACTCAAACGATAACTCCTAGGATTCTCAAGGGATACTACGAAAAGAGTCCAAGGATAACTCCAGGGATTTCTCAAGGATAGTACGAAATAGCTACAAGGACACGATAAGATATATCCGAGAAATCTCCAAGGATTCTACAAGGCAACTACAAAGGTGCAAGGAAATACGTAAAGGATAACAGGAGAATGACAAGAACACGCATCAGCAGTCTGCCGATGGAAGAGGGAAGACGGCACAGATCAGAAAGCTGTACCGTAGATCTGGTTAAGAAGGAGAGGTCGAAGAAAATGAGAAATATTTATTATCGCCCACTGCCAATCGCCTTTTGGCGGAGCCATCGGGTGGTGGCGTTTCAGTTGTCGCCAAGGAAAGCGATGTGCCCCCGCGGAAAATGCGACCCACAAGGAAACCGACACCTCTGCCAGCGCCTCGACCACGCCCCGTCCGCCCAGGAACACGATGTTCAGCAGTTGGTTTATCCTGCAGACGGTGCGACATGTCGGTGGTCACCCTGCTGCTGGAAAGCGAGGCCATCGATCTGATCATGTACTCCCTGATGACCGGCTGTTAGGATGTGCGCCTCTACGAGATTCTCATCGGCGGTGTAGTTCGCCGAACTGCTCACCTGCAATCACAGCACAATGGGGTCCCTGTTCAAGCTGACCAACTGCATGGAAACCGCCATGCGGATCCAACTGATGCGACTCTTCCAGTACATCATGACCCACGTGCTCAGCGGCAAGGAGCAGTTCGCTGTCGACTGGTACGTCTGCTTTGCCGCCTTCGAAAACTCCGACAAGAATTTCGGCAGGATTCTGCAGCAGTCCGTGAGCGGTCGATTGGCACTGGACGATAGTGCGATCGATGGGCACACGCAAAATGGAAACATCGTTTATGGTGAATATCGCAGCGAGCAAGTGGCAACGCCGCCCCAGCGATATCGGTTGCTGATGGGTATCGATATCATGGGGAGTCCCGCTGGGTTATCTATAGCTGATGAGTATCGGTGCCCAGTGGGAACAGATGGAGGATCGGCGCGGGAGACTTGAAGTTGCTACGAGGAGGATGACCAGCGCTGTAGAAACTCAATGGAGTTAAAAGCGTCGAGGGCGCATCGAGAGAGCCACGAGGGAGCAAATAGGGAGCACCGGGGGGATCGGTAGGAGCGTCGTAAGGGCTTGAAAGCTATGATATGCAAGGAAACGCCGGAGAGTAGGAACGAGCTTTTAAATGATTCCCGAAGTAAGGAGGGAATGTGAGGAGTTGAATAACTCCCCACGAATCCCAGCAGCAGCAACAAAAGATGGCCGGCCGCTTACCAGGTACGCGAATTCGCGTAGTAACGGCGCGGCGAGGTGCGGTTGGAGAGGAAGAGAGTTTGGAGACCAAGGTTGGAGAAGAAGAGAGTTTGGAGACCAAGGTGCGGAGAATGAGAGTGTGGAGACTTGGCGGGCGAGCGAGAGTGTCGTGTACAAAAGGGAATAACGGAACTCCACCGGACCTTGGACCCGGAGTGGAGAGATTCAGCGAGCCGTGCGCAAAAGGGAAATAACGGTTCCCGGAGGCCCTATATAAAACCGCAGGGCGCTGGCAGCAAGATCATCAGTCGATCACGAGGAGTCAAACCATCAAGATCAGTCAATATACCAAAATGAAATGTCAGTCAACCAAGTAAAATACAAGGGAGCCACAAGGCGAATCGTCGGAAGCAGCGCCGTGGGAAGCCTACAAGGAGCAAGATCGCCACGTCGAGACGTTCGGGATTGGGATACCAGGAATCTCCGAATTGAGACTCAGGTAGCTGAGGTCCAGAGGGCATCACACGGCTAGGTCAAGGCGGTTGATTAACCTTATCCACAAAGTCCTGGCGTTACGCCTGGAGAGAGTATAACAAGCCAGAAGGGAGAGCAGTCAATCGGTACGGTCTCGAGTGGAATTGTCCAGGAGAGCCCTACAGATTCGACTTGCGAGGTCCCGGAGCGGCGTGCCCGAACCCCGAGTACCAAAAGCCACACGGAAACGTCCCGGACAAAAAGCAAAAGGGTGAGGCTAGGGTGGAACGTTCGTTAACACTAGGCGTGGAAGCGAAGTAAAGCGCGAGGCAGCTTCCTGGCTTTCCGCCTTGACTGTCCGCGCGGGCTGAGCAGAAACCCCAGTGGGACCATCCGGGACAGAGCAAGGGACAGGCGGCGGTATGTCGAAAGGAGCGATCCTGGAGAGCGCAGCTTCTGTTCACCCTAGTCTGAGAACGGTGACGCTTCCCTAAGGCCGTACGGCCGATACCCCTCGCTATTCCGAGTCGTTACCAGCAGTCACCAAGTCACGCGTGAGAAGTGAACAGCGAGCGAGCGTCTTCAGGGAGCTGCGAGGATCTTCAGGGAGCGGCGAGGATCTTCAGGGAGCTGCGAGTATCTTCAGGGAGCTACAGGACTGGAGCACCGAGTCATCAAGGCGAGAGGTCGTCGAGTCATCCAGGACCGTCGGAAGCACCGAAGGTCACAAGCAACGAGTCAAGGCCAACCAAGCGACAAAGACACTTGTAATAATACACCCAGTACGAGTACCAGAAGCCACTCTACGTCCAGCCGCGCAGCCAGCACAGCCAAGCCACCAAATCACGACAGCCACGCAAGACAGATCGAGCCAGACGGAAACGTCCCGGACAATAAGCAAAAGGGTGAGGCTAGGGTACGCTAAAACCCGTCTTTCGCCACCATTTTTAAATACGCTGTAAAAATTTCTTCTTGTTATAAATACCCATACATATGTCCAAAATTTCTCAAATCGGACCATTAACTAATAAGTTATAATCAAATTAAAATTAATAATATTCAAACTCAATGGAGTGCGAAAGGAATTGAGATATATTAATGAAAGAAATCGGCTGCTAACGAAATTTCACTAACAAGCCACCTAGCTTTCATTCCTATAGACGCTCGATGGTATCTTAGTGAAATCTCGTAAACAGCCGATAGAAATGAAAATATAGTA